AACTGAGCAATCTTTGAATGCCTTCAGACTTCTTAGGTAGCCAAAATCGTGTAAAATATGAGTGCAGTCAGCCTTCTTGGCATACGAGCAATATTTGTGCAATATGGCGTCTTCAATGAGCAACAGTTTCACACTGTAGCTCATGATACTACAGTGTGAAAAAGGTGTAAAGAAGATGAGAAAAAAAATTGTGAAAAGTGCTCAAAATTGTGAAAATCATTCTCCTCCTACCCCATTTCACAACCCTACCCCTATCACTTTTGTTTTATGCAGTCTTTCAAATATGTCTTGTGTCTATATTAATGCAATTTCTGACAAAAAGTTGAAATATAAAGGTAATTTTAGTTAAATATTGTTTTTTCTAGAACAAATTAATTTTTTTATAATGTAACCTTAAGGGAAATATGGTCTCAACTTACGACGGCCCCATGTTACGACATCCACCCTGGAACGGATTGATGACGTAAGATGGGGGCCCACTGTAATACCTCAAGAAGAAAAGATACATTTTTCCTGAAATGTATCAAAAGCAAAAATTAAATTTTTCCTGCCTTTATTAACTGCTGGTTTCATGAATATGAACATGATAATTCAGTGAGCATTTTCCTCCCTTTGGAATTATTGTATGGATCTCTATTTTAGAAAGGTGCAATTGTTTTTTTTTATTCATAGAGAAGTGCAGTAAAATCTTGCTACAACAAAGATTTATTGGGAACAGCAAAACTTTTTTTGAAAACTCATCCATGATGAAAAATGGTGTTCAGTAAAATGGCTATAAATTGAGCTGAGACTTAAAAAAACAAATTAGTTTCATAAGCAATACCTTGGCAATATTTTTAAAATGAGATTTGTTGCAACAAGATTCTACTCTGCATTCAAGGCTGACTGACTTTCAAATGGATCTCATTTACTTTGAAGAAATCCTGACATAGTCAAACAGACAGGTTATCACATCCCTAGAATAATTGATAGAAAATGCTAGAAGTGATTTTCAATCTTTTTGAATAATTTCAAAAAAGTTAAGCTTTTTCAGCTTTTTAACAGAAAGCTGGCATTGCCTCAGCAGAATTATGACTTACATTCTAAAATTTAATTATTAAGGCTCTGATGAAGTTGTTTTTTCTTTGCATTTCACCAAAATTTTGAATGGAACATTTTAGGTAATGTATTGACATTTTGCACTTTTAGAGATAAAAAAAAGGATTTTTTGAGTCTGACGCAACAAATCTAACAATACCTTTCTCACAATCGACATAACTTTCCAGCACAAAGAAAACCCCTTATTGTTTTTAAAATAATGGACAAAACTTTCTGAAAGTTTCCTGGCAAAAATCAGGAATAAGTTTTCTGAAGAAAAAGATACACTTCTTCAATTTAAGAGATGGCATAGTTGCCAATTGCAGGAGGCATTTAAACATTATTTCCGTGTAAATCACAAACTTATTTGAGAAATGTGAAAATATCTCAAGTTTTATTCTATATTAAACTGGTTTATAAAATTAAATTTCCTGAGCGTCTTTTAATTATTCATATATATTCTGAAAAATATTTCGAAATATCCCTCATCAACCTATAATTTCCAAATGGCCTATCTCAATCACCATGTTTTTTCTTTCTTTATATAGTATTCCTCTAATTCCTCTGCTCAACCCCCTGATGTTCAGAATTAATAAAACACATAATATCCCCCCCCCCTCTGTGGAAATCAGGAAATGATCAATTTTTTTGCGTTTTCAGCTGTACAGTATTCCCACTTGGCAAGTGAGTCAGTCAAGCATCAAAACGACCATCAGGACCAAAACATCTGCCAGCACCATCACTTTATATATGATGAAACACACGCTGTTTTGTGAGACCTTTTAAAGCGTAAATCGTGTCGATCGACACTAATTCGAACTCATCACTTTTCCATTGGGGGTCAAAGGTTTTTTTTTTTTTTGCTTTGTTTTCTTCCTCTTAGTATATATATGCTGTGGGTGTCCCACGCTGTCGAACGCAACCCCTGGCCTATATATATGGGGTTACAGTGTGTGTGTGTGGGTGGGAGGGGTTCGAATTTTTATCCGGTGGGTGAATCTGCTGGCCACTAGTTTCCCACGCTTTGTCACTTGCTGTTGCCAGGGGCAGATGGTTCTGGAAAGAGGAAATTTTTTCTAGCTGCTAAACTGGACTGTGGGTATGTAATGTGTAATCAAATTGTCACCGTTTTGGTCAACCTGTTCATCATCAAAAACATTCATCACGGCGCATTAAATCCATTCATTCAATTTCCCATGGGAAAGTAAATGAGAGGTAATGTACAGTTTAAATGGATTCAACAAAATATATATTAAACAAAATTGGGAAAAGCATATAAACAGGTAGAATGTCTCTAAAACAAAATTTAATGGACCAGAAAAAAAAATTTTGTTGTAGAGAACTCTCAAATAACATGGAGAGAAAGCCCATGGGAACCAAAAAAAATTCATTATACTGTACCATAAGAAAATCATTGAAACATTATATTGTAGAGAGAGTCCACCTGTATAAAATCTGATAAATATACTTCAAATGTAGGATGAGGAAATAACACAACCTGAGTGGGGAGCTATTTTTGCTGTGACCCCACAGCAGGGGCACACCAGGGTCATAACTGGTGCATATGGGATATTCTGGGGTTACAAGAGTGCACTCCTGTAGAGGAAATTTTGCTACCATTCCAGGGCTACACTTGGTGCACAAATGTGACAGAACAGGAGCATCACACAAATGCACCAACTGTAACCTTGGTGTAACTTATATGTTCACAAATGTGACCCTGAGTAATCCTGGTGTGACACACAATTGATGCACATTAGGGATATGCATGTGCAACAGAAGAACTTTGGTACACTTCAGGTGCACAGCAGGGTCACTGTGTAGAATTACAAACATATCCCCAGTGTGCACCAATTTCCCCACTCAGGAAGTTCAATTTATGGACGTTCCAGAATTTTAATTGCTTATTTATTGTAAGTGAATATGTACTCTACAATTTGGTGGAAATAACTTTCTCTTGATGAAAGATTTTTTGAAGTTATTTTAGTGTTAGTAAACTTTACAAAATTTTTAATTTGCATTTAGATCATATAAAAATTAGTGAATCGTGAAATTAAGAAGTTTTCAAAACCAATTGTTGTTCAATATCCCAGTAAATAAAAAATAGGTCAAAAGATATCCACTGATATTTAAAAGTTGGACTACATCTTTTACAGCAACTTTTGGGGAATAATTGAACAATTAATCCTTGGAATAAAGTTTGAAAACTTGTGGAGTCATTTCACTGAACTGCAGAAGTGCTGCTGTGTGTCACGTGCAGAATCGATATTGAATGTTGGATCAATTCTATACGCGTGATACCAAAATGGAATAGATGAAACCCCAGCAGTTTATTGCATATAGAACGAACATAATGAAAATGCAATCATATACTCACTGAATAAACCCTAGATTTATCTTATCCCGAAAAAAGATAACTGTGTTCACAGCAGATTAAAGAATAAAGCTCATCAATTTTTGTTGTTGGAAATTTGTACCTCATGAAATCCGAGTATACGGACACATTTTAGAAGCGACATCTATGTACTACGTATTTAAATCCCGTTTCCCTCATCGGAATTAACCCCTCATCCTCATGCATACGGGCAGAATTACGTTTGCTTTCAACAGCACAACTGGGCGAAGATCACTTAATGTGTGTCACACATTAAGTACACATCCTGTACTACAGTACAGTAGACTACTCAGCAGATGACACACTCTTTCCTGCGCAGCATGCAGCGCTTAAATGCAATGATGCAAAATGCCATCGTACTATACTTCTCAGCAGGTTCTCAAAGCGTGAGGACATATTAGCAGCGAATAAGAGACGTGGTGATTATGACAATCAGTCCACTAATGATAACAGTCAACATCTGCTCTCACGTGGAAGAACTATATAAAATACTGTATGAAGCCTTCTCCGACAAGAAATGAAGGAAAAGAGGGGGTTAAGGTGAATAAGACGGCTTGCTCATCTTATGCACATTTTTCCATTAGCGCACCTTCTGTTCGAAGCCACGTGTTGTGGCGGCTGGTTCGGTTTAATTTGCTCCAAATATCGTTATTGAACCCTGGGGGATAAGGAATAGGCATGTGCGCGCGTGGATGGGTTATTGTTCAACTCCGCTGCGCGCATATAATACTAGACGAGGGGAAAGCGGTTGTTGATTGCTTCGCCTGATAAGAAAAGGCGTCATGTGCGAGTTTCTGCTGCTGCTACCGATTCGCTGCGTCTGCTTGAGAAGAAGCAGGTGCCTGCTAGGAAATAACTGAAAGAAAACTTCGTGGCCAACTGAGATGCATGGGCCCGCGGTAACGATTACGAGCACTTGCGTGAAAGAACAGACTTATTAGTTGAGTAGCGACACCTGCCCATAAAAAAGAAAACTGCCTTACAGCTGGAAATCATTGCTGCTTTGAAGAGGCGCTTGTGAAAAGGACCATAAGTCGCGATTTTCTTAGTTTCGGGTTCATCGCTCCCGTTAATATATGGTGTACTTTGAATATTAGTCATCAACGTTTATGATCATTGTTCTTTCCGATTAGGTGCCTAACGTCGAAACAAATCCCTGAACGGAATTGAACATTTAGAAACGGCGGCTCTCCGTATGCCCATGTCATGTTAAGACTCCGCATACTGATTCATCTTGCTATCTAGCCGCATGAAGTGAGCGTGGTCGTACAAGTTGGAAGTCGCGAAGTAATTGCGTGCTAAACGTTGATGCTTGAGTGCGGTATTTGTGTTTTGAAAGCCATCTGTTCCAGACGCTAGATCAAGGGGCGATTTATTGGGATGCCCAATAATAGTGTTCGGCTGTGAAAGTCGCAATCCGTGTGCATATACTTCGGTGGGTCACCTCACGTGTACAAGTGCCTAAAGTCTTTTATTCCGACGTGTTTTTATCTATATGGGTGATACGATTTGCCGATGAAAATGTCGCGATATCTTCGTATATTTTCCAGGGGTGTCGAAGATGCTCTCTGTGCTTAGCTCTTAATATTTCGAGTGCTTGCTGATATTCGTGTTGTGATGTTGGTGGAAAATCAACATTTTTCATGAATGAACGAATTCTTTTGGACGTGGTTGAGCCAGAATGATCTTCAGATGGACATTCTTCGGAGCGTTGTTATCATCCCTCATATTGGTGACGTCTATTGAAATTAGAATCGGTGATGACGAAAAGGAGCTCCCTTGTTGTGCCTTGACGATTGAAAGTGGCGGTCCTCGGTGAGCATGACCACGGTCCAATTTATGTTGACGTAAATGAAAATGAGTGTACTGTTATTTTCAGGGATGTCATTCTCCGTTCATCTTTGGATGGTAAATTTTCAGCGATTGATCCTGAATCTGGGAAGGTGCTATGGGTCCGTGCGACAGGTCCCGGACCTCTTCTATCTAGTTCCATCAGTGATATGAATGTTCGTGAAAAAAGTAGATTTCAACGATGTGGTGAATAATCGAGTATTTTATTTTAGTTATCCGAGGAAGGAAGGGATTTCAGAGTTGTTCCGTCATTGGACGGGACCTTGTTTCGTTTCACGGGGAGCTCGGTGGAAGCTTTGCCGTTCAGTGCGAACAGTCTACTAGAAAACTCATTCCTAGTGGCGGACCACACGGTGATAACTGGAGGAAAAGAAGTGAGAACGTATGGTATTGGACTTTCGACGGGCAGACTTCACTACGTCTGTTCTCTCAGAGGCTGTAACAAGTTTGACTCTTCCAAGCCGATTGCTGAAGACATTCTTGTCGTTAAGAGGAATACGCAGACTGTACGAGCCATCGATCCACTTACAGGCACTGAAAGGTTAACATTAACCTCATTTTCTATTTTTATTTGAAAACAAATTTACGTAAACGGTACATTCAATTTGTACAGATGGAATTTCAGCGTGGGGCAACACGATGTAAATCTTAGGTTGCAACCTTTTGAACCTTCTTTCGATGGGAACGGTTCTCCTGCACCGGAATGCGACTTTTACTTTCCTGAATCCTCTGTTGATCATGTGTATCAGTTCGACGTCGCGAAGGGGAAGATCTACGCCGTTTCGCCAGAAGATGTGAGTTAGACCTTCGAATTGTAACAGTGACACGAAAAAAGCACCCAGACGAGAAATAACAGGGAGAAAAAGTACATATGGAAGAAAATTCGTGACCAAGTGTTCTATTTTGTAACATTTTTGACTCTGAGAGTCTGCGGTATTTCCTTCCAATAGTGCATGGATCATTATATAGATATACGCCTCGTCGAAAATGAATATTCGTTCAATTGCGAGCAACGAAGTGGACATTGATTTTCGAAGCATTCCTGACGCTAGAATAGGTTCCAATCTGCTTCTGAAGTATTGCATAATTCACGAATACTTATTTTATCTAGCATTAGAAATTGATCACTGTTGTTCCTCTGGCGCGAGTGTGAAATCACCTTAATTCTCAACTTCATTGGAATTAGTATAAATTTTCGTCTCGTAATTTGCTGTTTCGCATAAGTTTTATAATTTTTATCTTCTTACCAAGAAAAATGTCCGAGTACTTATATGGGATGGACTAAATTTTCAGAGCAACATAATCTGGGAGCAGCGAGCATCTGCTCCTCTGGCCGGAGCGTGGATCATTCGCAATCAAAAAATATTCCGCATTAACCTGTTCCCTCGGGATCATTCGCAAGTTTGGGTGTCCAGAGTCTATCTGGGAAAACACCTCGGCAACCCTTACATTCAGCAGCACCACAGCTCTTTGGACAACGCTTTACAGTGGCATCCTGTGTATTTACACTGGATCGATTACGGGGATCCGGCGGGTCTTCCCGTTCTCGTTACAGACGATGAAAATACTCGTGCTTTGACTGAATTCCATCGGGGCATGGAGTACCCCTACGAAGGGGGATATTATTTAATGGGAGATGATTCCGGTTCAGAATCCGACGAGGACGGAAGACGAAGTAGCAATGAGGTCCTCAGAACCTGGGACAATCGGAAGAAGAGTATCAGAGGCCATCGAAAACGTCGCCACGAAGCCAAGCAGGTTAATACTTCGGAAACTGCTTTATTGGATGCCGAATTCGAACTCCGTCTTTATTTACTGGAACTTTCTTATTGGTGGTAAGAATGCCTTCGTAACTTTTCCGATTAAATTTTGGTAATTTTAGCGATATTATTATTTTGTTGTAGGCGTGAAATGCTCGGCGTTCTTCTGATGGGGATTCTGACTGCCTGGGTGTGGTTTCATAAATTTTCGCGACAGAATCCGATTGAAACCCCGCCGGAAGTTGGTTACGAAGTTGCTGTTTGCAATGCACAGACTCCTAAAGGTCCGAGCGTAACGGTAAGGAAATGTATTGCAATGCTGTACCTTTCTCACCTTTATGTAAGACGTATTTTTATTATTAAAAAAATAAAATAACTATGCGTCTGTGAGTTGAAGGTTTCGAAGATGATAGATAACGATGAATGAAAAATTTTCCCCCGTCAAATTAAAGGTTTAATTTCTCATTGAACTTCGGAAATATTTTTCCCCTGTGAAACGTTCAAAGCATGACAAGAACAAGTAGAGAAAATCAGAATTTGAAGTTCAAATGTGAAAAAAAACATCTGGAAATTTTGTATTACGTAATTATTCTTTGTCTCCCCCAAGGCCGCAATTAATTTTTTGTATTGTTTGTTTCAAGATTTTTTAAATAATAAAAGTAAGATTGTCTTGTTGACAGCCCATGCAAATTTTGTCCGAAAGAGTCCTCAAATTTTGTGAAACAATCGGGAAGTGCGTCTTCAAATTTTCCAGAAGCGTCCTCAGTTTTAAGGGTTAAAAAACGAAATGTGCGTGTTAGATTGGATGGTGTCGTATGTTCGCGTGTCGAAAATTAATGCCGCATGTCTTCATCATGCAGAGAAATTACCATAACGTGGTTGTAAATGTCGTGCACGGGACTCGGGAAGAATCGAAGCCAAATGACGATAAACCCGGGAAGATCCGATCCATTTCGGAAAATTCAGTTCAGCGGACAAACTCGTCAACTTCGTCGCAGTCCTCGTCGCCGTCGGAGTTCAAGTCGAAATTTCAGCACGAGTTCATTTGTCTCGAAAAACTCGGACGTGGTGGCTTCGGAACTGTGTTCAAGGCGAGGCATAAAATTGATGGCTGCGAATACGCTGTCAAACAAATCCTACTGCCGCACAAGTGAGGGCTTTTTTATTTCCAATTCATTCAGGCATTCTCAACAATTTTTAATTGAATCTTTTTTTTTTAATAGAAAAGAACAGAAGGACAAAGTTTGGCGGGAAGTTCGAGCTCTTGCGAATTTGGATCATCCAAATATTGTCCGATATTATCACACTTGGATGGAATGCCCGCCACCGGAATGGAAGCTTGACACGGAGAAGTGAGTGCAATTAATGTTTTCGTCAGAAGAGTAATTGGAAAACATAATTGGCATTGGAACAGCTAGTTGCTGAAGTTTGAGTTGGATCAGGTTTAATTATCTGCAATTCTGGATTTTTTTTTTTAGTAAAATACTTGCTCTCTTGGGGCATTCTGAAATATATCTTCTGTATGTTTGCGCCTTTGATGCCTGCTCAACTGTTTAAGTTGATCCTTTTCAGAGTTGCCATTTTTCGACTTGCTCATTTTAGACCTTCTGTTTAATGAGAGCCATTTTTTCTCACTAAAACGTGTTTCACTTTGCCTCTTTCGTACTCTTTCTCTGTTCGGGTGTTGTTTTCTGCTATACGAAAAATTGCTTGATGATGTATTGACTGTCAACGCGTCGATTTTACTTCTGCAGTATTCCGCAAGGAACATCTCACGAAGACTTTCCTTTTACCGATGAAATGAGTCCACCTGATCTAGCGTCGACTTCGGGAATACACAACAATAATTTTTCGATGTCGTGCAACGACTCAAGCACTGCGCTCGAAACCAACGACGGATTAAAATCCTTGGCATGTGTCGACGACAGCGACGAGTCCTTCATCGTTTTTGAAAACTCTGACGTGAATGACAATCTGGAGTCGAAGCTGGAAAATCCTCCGCCTTCGAGTCACGTGATTCGACGACGAGAGTGTGTTTACTCGCACAAAGATCACCACGTTACCGTGAACGATTTGAGGCTGGAAGTGCGTTCCGATCGACCCGAGTGCAAGGCCCTGGTTCCCCTGGACGGGTTCTCGGACCCGCGTTCGTTTTTGGAGAAATTGGCGGTTTCCTCGTGTCAAGTGGGTTCTGCTTCGGCGCGTGAACGAGCATTTTCAGAGTCTGCCGCCACGTCGAAGCCGGCCAAGGTGTTCCTGTACATACAAATGCAGCTTTGCTTGAAGGAGACGTTGATGAACTGGATAACAAAGTTGCAGAAAGATCAGTGGCCGGAAAAGAAGGTGTTGTTCTCCAAATTTTCGAGTGTGGCGGACGCTGTGGCGTATATTCACGGCCAGGGTCTGATTCATCGAGATCTGAAGGTGAAATACTTCTCAGTCTTACAAAGGTAGTTCAGTCCTTCGTGCATGAAACACTTGTCAAGTTATACGAAGAATCATGCATGACAGAAATGTTTGGGTTTGAGTGCGCAAGATGGACACCTGCACTCATAGGCGCCTATCAGACTTGCTGAGGAAGGGATTACATTATTTTATTTTAGAGAAATCCAAGCATTTTGAGGTGAATATGGTGATGCAGTACCGTAGTGAACTAAAATGTACTTGACTGATGTTGAGGACATATTTATGGTATACTATGCATGGTTTCAGAGTGTTGAAGCCAGAGAATGAGAGAAATCTGTGGAATTTTTAAGAAATTGACATTGAATGTATGGCCGTCTTGGAAATGGTTAAATTATTGAATTTTAAACTGTAGTGTACTTGGAAAAGCACTGGTTTAGAATCTACCAGTATCATTCCTGAATACTAAATTATAAAATGATGGCTTTCTTTTCACAGCAACTGCATAACTCTGATCTGTGATTGTATCACTCTGCCCTAATTTTATTTACAGAACATTGATAAAAGATTTGATTGAGTGAATTTGATTGTTGTTATAATATTCAGACACTATTTAGGAATGTTCATGTGGTTTAATGTGTCATTTACATCCACTTTTTAGGTCACCATGGTTACATGACTGTTCTGTGGGTACACGCTTTGAAAAGGTTAAAAAGCTCTGGTTTAAATTATGCTGTCCTGGTTTAGATGGTTCTAACATTTTTGGGGGGCTTTTTGCTGCAATTTCAATGTCATAAGTGAGGAAAGACAAAAATTTGAAGACCAAAGCATCACAGTTTACCTCTTTCATGCAAGCCTGACTTGAGTAATTCAGTTTTACAATATCCCATAAGATCATGATACTGTACAACAAAATGTAAGTTGACAAGCAAGGTGTTGAAATGAAACATCTTGAAAATAGAATAGAATTCTGTGAAAAATGTCGAACGAATCTTGCAGAAAAGCATACATTTTCCTCAACTGCGCGCAGAAATCAACCGTCCCGAAACTACAAATTTCTGGACTCTCAATTTATGAAGTACTGCAAATTTTCCGTTTAAAATAAGTGCCTCTTTGAAGTATGACTCACGCTTTGCCTTGACGACATTCATTTTGCCAAAGCGTGTGACTCACTTGTGCAAGCACTCACATACAGTATAGTACAGTATTCCGGCCTGAGTGTCGTGTGAACTCCTCTATTTCTGAGATAACGTAGACTCATAGAGAACTAATTTTCACCTGTATTATCCACCGTTATGCCAGTTACTTGCTGAACTCCGCTGCCGTGTTTCTCTATATCACAGAAAAGCTCAAGTGCGTGGAATTATTATTTTTATTCAAAATTAATCTTGGTCCACAATCAAGGGTATATCGCAGAAAAGCGAGTCCACAAAACAAAAGAACCGGTTCACAAAGCATCGAAAAGGCGTAGGAGCGCTTTTGATGATAGCTCAACCGATTCCTACTGGTTTCAAGCCTGCTATTTCCATTTTAAAATTTAAATTTACGCTTTGATCTTTCGAGAGATGAATCTGGCACATTTTTTATTAATGCTTCTGATCGCTAATTACTGGATTTTCAATAGGGTACAGTGAGTCCAAGTATAACGGAAAACCCGCGCAAAGGAAAATCCATCTAACGAAATTTTCCGAGGGAAATCAGTGATTCGCGGTATTTTAGTATTTTCCAAACGGAATTTTACTGGCCCAAAAACGCTCAATTTTGAAAAATTTTTGGGCGGAAACTTCGGAATTGAAAAAAAAAATTCAGGAAAATGATGAGAGAGAGAGAGGTTTAGTTTTACCTCATGTCAATAAACTTTGTGGAATTCAGAAAGTTCAGAGAACAACCTAGCCAAGAATGCTGAAATTTAATGCCAGCTCAGTTCAAGATTCAAAATTTTATGCTTGAAACTAAGAAAAATACACAGGTTTTCAGGGTTATTATTTTGTTTTGGTGAGTGCCTGGAGCGAATTAAAACGTCAGTGATGTAATTTTAAGGGTGCAGTAATTCCAGGAATGCCTAAGTTTCGTTATGAGGGGGCCCACTGTATTACGTGACTGCGTCTGAATGGCCTCATGTCTGTTTTACATTTTCAGCATCAATTCTTTTGCGAGTTTTGTGATCTCATCCGATGTGCAATAGGAAAAAAAGTGAATAACTGAATAAATGTTGTCTTCCGCTTTCCTTTAGCCATCCAATATATTCATCGCACCGAATGGTTACTTGAAAGTTGGAGATTTTGGTCTGGTGACAGCCGTGAGCGAGGATGTGGATGAGAGAATGTTTTCTCGAGGTTATGATGAGATCGATTCGGCAGGGGACGCAGTTGCCTTGCCACAAAGTTTAAGGAGATCGTACACTGACCAAGTGGGAACCAAGTTGTACATGAGCCCAGAACAGGTGACTTGAAAGAATGCGATGGGATTTGAGAATAATGAATTATATAAAAAACGTTTTCTTTTAATTGTAATTTTTTTTTGTAGATCGCAAACCAGCCGTACGATCGATCCGTGGACGTCTATTCCTTGGGATTGATTCTTTTTGAATTGCTGTATCCCTTGTCGACGAGGATGGAGCGTCAAAAGGTCATTTCTGAGTTGAAGGATCATTTGGCTTTCCCGACTGTGTTCGACGACGAGCTCAGAGATGAGGTTAGATTATACTGTGCATACCACATTTACATGAATGAAAGACGCCCAATTTTCCGAATATATCATCTAAATCTCCTGAAAAATTGTCCATGAATTAGAATACTGTACTTGAGAAAGTTTACAGTTTATTACGACTCTTAGAGAGAGAGAGAGTGTCGTGCAATTTTTTCTTGAAGGTTTTCTCGAAGTTATGATACATTTAGACTCTCTCAACGACATTTTTCTCGATTCAACAATTTTTTTCTGATCCCCTAGATTCCGTTGTATAGAGTCCATCTGTGCCAGATTTTAATTGAATTTTTTTCGAGGATAATTTCACTTGAAAGAAAATTGAGTGAGCCTTCGTCGACAACTCCAAAAAGAAACTTCACTACGGAACATATTTTTTTCGTTATGTATTTTGAGTTGAAATTTGTGCAATTAGTTGCCCGCTGTCTACTAGAGAATTCTGGAATATTGTAAATCCTAGACTGTGTTTTGGATTTAAAATTAAATTTGCTTTTAGTTTTGGGGGCATATCTTGTATCCGATGATGTCTCGTATTTTTGTGAACATGAAACTTTCTGTAGTGGCAATTTTGGATTGACGAAGTGTATCTTTCTTTCTTTCTCCAGCGTGATCTCTTGTGCAAAATGCTATCGCATGACCCAGAAACCAGGCCATCGGCAGCTGAAGTGTTGGAAACCGTGCGTCGATGGTGTAACGAAAAGTCGTGATCCGTTCTCGTGTTTTGTGGAGAATCTTGTTTCCATCTTGAACATTATTTATATTGTTTTGAAAAAGGAATCTTCGTTCGTTTCTCTTTTGTGTAAGCTAGAAAGAATCCCGAGTTTTGAAACATTGCGTTCTTCCGTGGCATTGAATTCAGGATTTTCTGTTAACAGTCGATCCTCTTCCTCTATTGACTAGGAATCCGGGAATTCGGAGAAGAGTTTTAAATCTAGTGCATTGAAGAGTTGAGCCTCGGACGCAAAGAAAGTATAGTTTACTTTAGTTTTAATTTTCTGCCGAGACGCGCTGATGTGTGGATTCTTGGAGTGATTTTTGGAAGCGTTATTAAAAGTAAGGCTGGGTATTTTTTTTAACTATCATGAATTATAATTTTTCTCGGGAAATACCGTTGAGTTTCGATTGGACTGTGAAAGATAAGCTTGTGATCTTGTGATTCGTTTTTTGAATTGTGCGTTCGATTAATTTCATGCGCCTGTTCGATGAAATAGTTTCTGATTTCGAAATGTTTCTTCTCTTTTTCAGAATATTCATGGAAATGTGAAACATTGTGTTCGAATTTTTGCGGTGGGCGAAACAGTGTTGAAGTCAGTTATGATTGGTTCTATTCGGAGGAACGGATGACTTGAAGAAAGAGGAAGAACAAGTGTGTCGTTTTTGCCACTCATTCGGTGAGTTTTCGTATATGTTTCTCAAAAACCTAGTAATTTCGTGATGAAAACTTCTTTCCCCGGCCTATCCGCTAATTATCAAACAAACCATGAGGATGAAAGATTTGTCTGATTAAATCTAGAGATTCTTCTCGGTTTTTGTTACTCAAACACAGCTTGAAGTTGTTTTTTTTTCCTTGCAGATTGGTATTTTCGGGAGAAACGGATGACTTGAAGAAAGAAAAGGAACAAGTGTGTCGTTTGTGCCACTCATTCGGTGAGTCTGTTGTGTATCTCAAAAAAACATTGTAATTTCGTGATGAAAACTTCTTTCCCCGGCCTATCCGCTAATTATAAAACAAACCGTGAGGATGAAAGATTTGTCTGATTAAATTTAGAGATTCTTTCCGGTTTTCGTTACTTAAACACAGATTGAAGTTGGTTTTTTTTCTTTGCAAAAAGGTATTTGCCGGAGAAACGGATGACCTAAGGAAAGAAGAAGTGTCTCGTTGGTGCCACTCATTCTTCGGTGAGTCTGTTATGTATCTCAAAAAAACATTGTAATTTCGTGATGAAAACTTCTTTCCCCGGCCTATCCGCTAATTATCAAACAAACCGTGAGGATGAAAGATTCGTCTGATTTAATCTAGAGATTATTTTCGGTCTTCGATACTCAAACACAGATTGAAGTAGGTTTCTTTCATTGCAGATTGGTATTTGCCGGAGGAACGGATGACCTGAAGAAAGAAAAAGGAGAAGTGTCTCGTTCGTGCCACTCAATCGGTGAGTTTTCGTATACGTTTCTCGAAAACATTGTAATTTCGTGATGAAAACTTCTTTCCCCGGCCTATCCGCTAATTATCAAACAAACCATGAGGATGAAAGAATTGTCTGATTACCTCTGGAGATTCCTTCCGGTTTTTGATACTCGAACGCAGATTGAAGTAGGTTTCTTTCCTTGCAGATTGGTATTTGCCGTTGGAACGGATGACCTGAAGAAAGAAAAAGGAGAATTGTCTCGTTCGTGCCACTCATTCGGTGAGTCTGTAATGTATCTCAAAAACAATTGTAATTTCGTGATGAAAACTTCTTTCCCCGGCCTATCCGCTAATTATCAAACAAACCATGAGGATGAAAGATTCGTCTGATTTAATCTAGAGATTATTTTTGGTCTTCGTTACTCAAACACAGATTGAAGTTGGTTTTTTTTCCTTGCAGATTGGTATTTTCGGGAGAAACGGATGACTTGAAGAAAGAAAAGGAACAAGTGTGTCATTTGTGCCACTGATTCGGTGAGTCTGTTGTGTATCTCAAAAAAACATTGTAATTTCGTGATGAAAACTTCTTTCCCCGGCCTATCCGCTAATTATCAAACAAACCGTGAGGATGAAAGATTTGTCTGATTAACTTTAGACATTCCTTTTGGTTTTCGTTACTCAAACACAGATTGAAGTAGGTTTATTTCATTGCAGATTGGTATTTTCCGCGAGTGACGAGAAAGACTCTCATATCCGTGGCTTAACGGGAAAAAATACTGAAGACTTGAAAAAATCCCGTTAAACTGAGACGATGATTTCGCTCGATTCGAGTAAAAAGGGTAAGTATAGTTAGTCTTCGATTTTATAGAAATATTCTTCGAAGGACGTTTGTAGGAGTTATTTTGGACGAACTGCTGAACTTCTTTCCCCCGTTTCGTTGCAGGCGGTAAACTTTCGCAAGGAAAGCCAGCCTGTTCGTGGTGCAACGAAAAGCAGAAGGTTCTCCGCTACGTGCTACCCTAGAGTTATTTTGGACGAACTGCTGAACTTCTTTCCCCCGTTTCGTTGCAGGCGGTAAACTTTCGCAAGGAAAGCCAGCCTGTTCGTGGTGCAACGAAAAGCAGAAGGTTCTCCGCTACGTGCTACCCTCGCCAAATGGTGAATTGGAGTTTTGCTCTGAACAGTGCATCGGGGAATATTCCGCCGGACAGTCACAGGCTAGTGAATCGACATAGTATCAATTATTCTTTTATTGTAATGAACGGAAATATCTGAAAAAATACTTCGTTTTTACGTCAGGTTTCTTGTCAAAATGCGTCAGCACCCGCCAAAGACAGTCCTCAGTGTCAAGACACATTACAATTTGGCCAAGTCCTCTTATGTTTATAAAGTCGACGGTTCTTCCTGCGAAGTGGGTGACCCTTAGGCTGCCTTAAGAGAACCCTTTGCATAGAGTTCCTTTGACCCTCACATGGACGAGGGACGCATTGCTTCAAGCAGGTGGGATTTTTTTGCAATGAAGTGCAGTGAAACTTCAAAATCCCCAAGTCGTGTGATGTACCTTCCTATGTTGAATTTTTTTCAAATCACTGTCTGAGTTTCTGAAATACGATGCATTAAAAATATCTCTAAACTCGAATGCTTTCTCCCTCAAACCTCAATACAGTAACTCCGATTTTCTGAAGGCCTTTTGGGCTATTATTTTTTGACGCAGGAAGGAGAAAAACGATAAAAATGTAACTTCATTTGTTTTGCGGGAAAGTGCAAGAATAATTAGGCAAATGAACCCATTCCTCCAAGTTTAGCATTCTGTCAACTTATTTAAAAAGCAAGTTAAGGCCCAGATTATCCCCAATTAAAATTCCCTGTAATTCTTCTTTCTTTCCTCCTAAAAAATGCTTGCTCCCCTAACTCGAATTTATTTGCGGGACCGTTGAAGTTCGGCATGGAGAGGTTCGACTGTACAAGTATATTTTACATGCATTTTGCTTTGCCCTCTGTCTCCTGTGTCAGGTATGAGGTGGATTTTTTCCATAAAAATGTATTCGATTTTCAAAAGGTTGGTGTTCTTGGCTTAATGTGATGAAATTTGTAGCTCGCTGTTATTATTACAGTACTACAGTAAATTGAAGATTAGTGTACGATATGACCCAGTTTGGCTGGAATTGCAGTTCGATAATCCCGCCGATATTTCCAAGCCGTACATGAATGAAATACTGATTCGTAATCTAATGTAGTCTTTCTCATGAATAAGACTGGTATTTTTTTATTTCTCAGCGAAGAGCGATAAGAAATGTGTGAGTTATGACACAAATGCTTCATGACATTAACACCTTGCAGAACATCTTCCCTTATAACTGCATTTCTTAGCATTTACGTTCTAGACATCCAATTACAGTGCTCTCTTTTTTTCTTTGACCTTCTTTCTTCTTAAAAACTTAGGTCGGCGAGGTTATTGGTATTATCAGGTATAATAATTCATCATGGGGTTGGGGCTAATTTCCAGATTTAAAAAAAATAGTAATGCTGGAGCCTTTTTTTGATGACGAGGTTCTCATTTATTGAAGACCCATCGTAACATTCAGCGATAATGTATATTTTTAATTTTTTTCAGCACGCGGATCCGCCGGTGAACGAGTTCAAGCCAGGAATGAAGCTGGAAGCCGTCGACCCGCGAAACACTACATCGACCTGCATCGCATCCGTCGTTTCCACAGTGGGTCCTCGTCTCTGTCTTCGTTTGGACGGCGGCGACAATTCCAACGACTTTTGGCGTCTAGTGGACTCAGTCGAGATCGGGCCAATTGGCCAATGTGAGAAAAACGGCGGGATGCTTCAGCCTCCGCTGGGATTCCGCATGAACGCGTCCTTTTGGCCCGTGTTTCTCCTGAAGAATCTCAATGGCGCCGAAATGGCGCCCCCGAAGTGCTTCAAAAGGGAACCCGCTACTCCAGAGGTCAACCTTTTCCAGCCCGGCATGAAGCTGGAAGCGATTGATCGGAAGAATCCGTTATTTATTTGTACCGCCACAGTTGGTTAGTTTTTGTCAATTTCCTTTCCCGACCTTTTTTTCTTTATGAACGATTGTTAAGTTAAAAAAAAATTTGCCATCAAATGACCGAGCGAAGTTTTTCCAAATGTCTAGTTTGCGTAATACTTGTTGGAATATTTTTGGAATCAAAATTTGCTTGTAGAAAAAAGCATCTTAGAAAATTGCGGAAGCTTTTTCATGAACTACCGTATACATCAAGTTAGACGCGCACCGGGGTTTTTCACTGGGATATTTTGACAAAATCGTATCCCCGAGACGCCCCCCCCCTTTTTTAGTGACTGTAAAACCCTAAAATTTCGAACATACAAACGCCCAAATTTTAATTGTGACATGTGTTACAAAGTACTATTTTTCGTACACCGAGGAATTCACGCTTCCGCGAGACATTCCTCTATTTCCGATTGAGGTGAGATTTTCTCACCAG